TCATCTCCTCAGGCCGCGTTCCCTTGTCGCATTTTCTCCCAAATTATTTCGCTGCCCTCAAATCGCAATGCCCTAGCCCCTCCGAGATTCGACATACCTTTTTCCTTCGTCCGCGATCGAGTTCGCAGAGCCGTTCCTTGCTTCTTCAGCACTCCTCCTCAGAGAAGCAAAGGTTTGACCCTGGCGGAGGAGGGAACAATGATCGGGTGCCACAACATCGATCAGTGGAATAAGATAATTTGAAGGGAGTTCTTTTTGCGCTAGCAATTTTCCATCATTGTTTTATGTAAGTTATTTTCTTTGTAGTTCCCTTCCTTCTTGCTGACAATTTCAAGATCCGTTTATTTGATTATTACTTTTGTTTTTGTTTCCTTGATCGAATTCTGGATTTGCAATGTTTGGATTGTTGGGCTGAAGGAAGATTAATGAGTGGGAAATGAACTCCACTCCTTGTAGTTTCCTGCAATGCTATTCTTAAGCTTCGCAGACTATTTGCAACAATTTGATATGTTTCTCACTAATCTGATGATCTTATCTATCTCTTTAGTTCATTCGATTAGAATCTTCTTATTTGTAAGGGCTTTGGAGTTAGGTTTCATGAACCTCTCTTGCTGATTGTTTGTTAGGAACGTACGGAGTGTTTTATAGAACCATGGAAATGCACTTCAGAAAGCCTTACATAAATTGTGATGAACTAATTCGGCAAAAGTTTTCAAAATCACCTCTGTAATTCAGTCATTGGATTAGATCGTTTTCTTGTATAACTTTTGGTTTTTACACCCATTTCCTTCAATTTGATGTTGATGTTATTGGCATTGTCAGAAAGAACAAACCCAAGGTAAATGTGACATATGGTCAATTCATAAATGGATCCAATAATTTTGCAGGAGTACTCTTAGAATGAGAACGAGGAAGTATTCTCATTTAGAAAGAAGAAAACATTTATTATAGAATTCTACTCTTTAAATATAATTAATTCCTTTTAGTATTCTTTCTTCTTCTACTCATTAACCACCGAGCACCATCAACACACATTAATTTCTTCTCTTATCATGATATTTTTTGTTTAGGTGCAAAAAATACTAACTATTGCAATTTAGGCTAGCGTTGTACTCTGCTTACAGTAAACATGGGACATCAATTTATTGGTACAAGTACATGCACACATGAATTTCATAATATACATCCATCAACTAAATGTTGGCTCCTTTCTTCCTATATATGTACAACTTTGCTGTGAAGAGATAGATTACTAACCCAACCATGCTTAGTCCTGCAAGCAGCCAATAAAAGTAGTCTATATGAGCCCCGTTTACATTATCTGAGAACCAACTCTCTCCTTTCCTTCTGGTTTCCTTGTCTATTACTAAAACAAGAAAACCACTTAGAAAGCTTCCAATGCCAAATGCTCTGAGGGCAAGAGCGACCCTTAGGCTTCTCAAAGCATTTGGCACTTGATCATTGAAAAATTCTTGCATTCCAACCAGCGTGAACGCATTTGAAATACCATACAGAACATACTGTGGAACCAACCTCACAGGCTCATTGGAATTGCTGCACTTGGTTGCTCAATCGACCCTTAGTCTTGTGCTGTTTTGTGTCTCTTCTTCTCTACTAGAGCAGCTATCACCATGAAGGCTCCAACACCAATTCTTTGTAGCATTGTGATTCCCAAAGGTTCCTTGCTGTATCTTTTTGCTAGAGGACAATAACGTGTTCATGCATGGGAATGAACACGATGATAGCGATTGAGACAATATTTAATATTGCAGCAGGTGGAAGTCGGACATTGGAGCCAATTCTTGTATCAAGCGTATTTCCTTGCTTGGTGAAGGAAGTTATTGATTGTGCAAAGACAATGGCATAGACTAAGCAATTCGTCCAAAAATGGCAATAATCAAAATATATCCTTTGCTTCTTCCATTTGTCGATAACTAAGGAATAGAACTTCTTCAGACTTTGTACATAAAAGAAACGTATGAAAATAATCTGGTAATTGTAGTTAAAGTAAAACTTACTAATATTGATTGTAAGGCATGCATAATTATAGTTTTTTTTTCCAGTTATGAGGATAGACTGAAAATTAGATTAGGAAGATGGTACGTTGTGTTTGATATATGCATATAGGATAGCTCCCTTGAGTATTGCATGACAATTTTTTTGTTTTTATAGTGTGAAAGATTGTACTTTATTCATGAGATTGAACCACTGTAAATCTAATGAAGAAAAT